TCAAACTCTCAAAAAAACCTCAAATTCAAAATCCTTCAAAAGTTCAAGACCCTTCAAAATTCAAGAACCAATTGGACACCCAGATCTGCTACAATTTCAGCGAACAAGAAACATTAAGGCAAACGACACGGTAGATCTGGTGAGGCTGCCATCAAAACAGAAGAAATACAACCACAAAGGGAACATATGGAGAAAAGATGAATTAATGGCAAACAAAAAGGACCACAAGCACTAAGAGAGAGAGCCAGGAAACCACTATCATGGGACGGACCACGGGCAGGAACGGTTGCTAGCGGTTTTGTGCATTTTACACACCGCGTAATTTTGTTTGCATATGGCGTAACTTTATTTGCACAACGTGTAACTTTAAAACAAAATTTTGTGAGTCTCACACACGTTATAAGAATCAATGTATAAAAAAGTGATCTAGATCTTATAATTTTTTGTGACCAAATCTTGGCTCTTAACTGCTCCTCTTCTAGATGATCGCTCCTGCCCCTCATCCATCACGGGACATGTGGAAGACTGATTCAGCTCACATAAAAAAATCCCTCGGGTAATTGGTCTTGAATCCTTGGCTGCTTTCTCTTCATTTATTCCTGCATTTATGACTCTTTTAGCTTCTGTCAGTCTACTAGTTGGACATGAGTTCTCTTCCTAACTTTTCCTTTAGAATTCTAGAAGAGTTACCTAGGTTCTGTCAGTATAGTTGGTTTTGATCTACCTTTTCGTCTTAGTTGTCCTAACATACTCCCAATAGTCCTGCCCTAGCTGGAGTACAGGAAGTTCTGCTCCTCTTTTTGCAGATTTGGTTAGCTCCCAACACTGAGTGCTTAGGCTGAAATTCCCACTAGTATCCTAATCAAAATGGCAGATAAGATATAATGCAGAAATTTGCTCTAAACAACATGGAATCTGTCGGAACTGATCTAGACAGTGGGGATCTGAGACCTGGACTTGTTGAAAGGTAAACATTCTTCAATTGAGATAAAAGTATTCGAGGAAAAGAAAAGGAAAAAGATGAAAAACGTTCCACTTGTTTCTTGCAGCCAAAAAGAAGAGGTGCCTAATGACTGCTAACTCGTCTTCTGCTTGGAGAGAGAGAGAATAAAGAAAACGATAATGCCTGTCCCTTTTTTTCATTTCCTACTAACACTGAACTACTCCTAATTCAAATCAAATTGTTCCAACTATGTTAACGAAAAGGAAGAGTCAACATAGACAAAATAGTCTAGCTTTCTAGTAGGGATAAAATATTTTATCCCTGTGGTGGAACATCTGATTCATATGACTTCAACTCGCGACTGGATATTACGCGCCAGCTCTTGAGTTTTCCGGATGTGCATAATTTTTAACTTTGACGTGCTTACACCGGACAACAAGTTGAGTAAATAATCACGCTTTTTTATTATTTTTTTGTTCCAAATCCCTACAATCGACAATAATTATCAAAAATAAATAGAATATACCAATTAACTCAATATTTGATAAAATAAAAGAGATAAATCATTATGAAATTAATAACAAAAATGCAACGTATCAATAATAGGGAAAGTGAAAGGGGAGAAAACGGGGAACTACACAGACATGAAAATTTTTGTGGTTAGTGTGTGGAACTACCCAAAGGACCCTGGAGTGGCAGAACTGGGACCAAACCTATTCCAATTTACAATCCCGGATGAGAAATGAAGAACAAGGATACTCACAGGGGGACCATGGATCTTGCACAATCAAATCCTAGAACTCAATGAGTGGTATAAAGGAATTGAGGAGGATGAAACTACATTTCATGTTGCACCATTGTGGATACAAGTTTGGAACTTGTGTCTACACTGAATTTTCATGAGGTCAAGGACGTGATCATCCCCCAAACAAGTGGGAAGGAAGGGAGACACTTAAAGTTGCTGGCTCTGGTGGACATCTCCCAATTACTGATGAGAGGAACCACTGTCAGAATGAATGGAATAATCAAATGGGCAAAATTTAAATATGAAAGATGCCCAGACTTTTGTTACCATTGTGGGATTACAGGACATAGTGAGAGGACTTTGCAAGGTACACATGAATATCCAACATGAACAGCAGGAAAACCAATATGGTCCATGGATGAGAGCTTCAAATGAAAGGGTGTCACCTCAGAAAGAGACAATAGTGAACAACTATGGCTCGAACAAGGTTCACCGGGGAGTACAAAATGGGGAATTAGTCAAGAGAGACATGAGGAATGCAACAACTAGCAAGATGAGGCCCAGCAGTCATGAGCGGGTCCCTTCATGACTGCTCAAATTTCTAAAACCACTTAAAGACAAGCAATAAAATGGACCCTTTATGACTATCCTAATTTCTAATATTAATACCAAAAAAAGATAAACAACAAAAGGGTCCATTTACGGCTTTCTTGGACCCGTGGCAATAATTCTTTAATTTTCTCCCCCTCAAATTCTAGAATCTCCATTGTTTGACCAAATTTTAAAGTAATTGCTGGAAAATAAATGTAATTTGTAGTTCACATATGGTAGGTCTCTTTTTTAAAAAAAAATTTATTTACAAAAACTTGTGTAAGTTCGATTTGCAGTCTATTTATCGACTATATAACATATAATATATGCAATAATCACATGAATTTTCTGACTTTTATCATCCTTCATTCATCATCAATTCTCTTACACAACCTTACTCAAAGTGACCATTGCATATAGCACATTATATGCAAGAACATCCACAAGCATATTCGTTCAACCAAGTCTAAACAAGTTTATTTAAAAACAATAACAAGAATTGTAACTCAATAATACTACAAACTAATCGAAACTTAACTTGCAATTGGGTTTGATGATATGGTGGAAAGGATTGTAAATAGGAGATCATTAGTTATAGACCTCTCACTTACAAAAAAAAAAATTAAAATGGTGTAATGAATATGAAGATATAATAAACATATGAATTTTTTTAAGCAAATTTCAAAATAATAGCTTCCACCAATTAACAAGTCTATTATTTAAATTACTAGGAGAGGAATGCCTGCGCATCGCGGGAGTATTTGGTACTTGTGGTTAAAGAAGATTTTTCATTGGACAAATAATAATACATTTTGAAAAGAAACAGTTATGAAATATGACAAAAAAAAGTTTGGAATTCATTGTCCAGTTCTAAAGAAGCTAGAGTCTGATACTTTATATATATAAAACGTGTTCAACACCAACATATAGTTTGAGTATTTGTCCGCGCATCACACTTATGAAGTCCTAAAGGGCAGAAGAATAAACTATGAAGAAATACCTTGGAATCTGGGACACCCTCAAGAGTCTCCTTCTCTAATAAAAGCGCAACAAATCCAACAATATTCTTTGCTTTCCTATATGTTTCAACAGCTTAACAGTTCACCAAACAATTGACTTCCGCCATTTCTAACATATGTAGTTTACAATATTTTTTTTCCTTTTTCACGGCTCAACTAACAATTGCCTTCCAATCTACGAAAGTAAGAAAAAATACAAAGAGCAAAACAAGTAGTCATGGGGTGAGATTCTTGCCAGCTAGGTAGTAGTAAATTTTGTAGAACCATCAGATCCCTAGGCCATCATGGTTACCCTCACCGTTCTTCCTGCCTTTGTCCAAGTTCATTTGCAGCATCACTCCATCCTCTGTTCCTTCTCTTCCCCATTGCAACTGCTAAACACAGCAAGTCAAGTTTCATTAGAAACAAAAGAAAATAGATGTGATCAAACAAAAACAAAAAGTAATATAGTAGATTAAATGATTAGGTTTGGTGGATTTTGGGCTTATGTTCGGTGCATTCAAATGTTTCTACTATAGGCAATTTGAGACTTTGTGGCGGCGGTGATAGGGTGTTAATTGTTGGTTATTTTATTGTTAATTTTTTCCTTTATTCTTACCAAATATTGTTTTAATTATTAATATTTACTTATATTTGGTATTGGACTCAATTTCAGGAAGTGAAACAGAAAACTACAAAAATGAGGGACTTTTTGGAGATAATTGGGATTTCAAACAACCGGGCCCACATGGTGCTACAAAGAGATTGTATTTCCTTTGCTGATTAGGAGATTGGAGTCCTACGGGCAATAGGAAACTAAAAGCAAGGAATTCGGTAGAGCCCCACCTTTGGTTTGATTCTCAATTCCAGCGGGGACCACAGGGATAAGAAGCTTTAGTCATTGTTGGCTTTAAAAAGGAGACAAACGTACAGAGAACTCTGATCAATCAATAGTTTTAGTTTAGGCTTTTAGCATAGTTTTAGTTTTTCTTTTCTTAGCTTTTTCGCATGGTTGTTCTCCATTAATGAAGGACTAACCTCTTAATTCTAGTCAAGGGGACAACTGAAGACTTGGTTCAACAATTACTGTGAGATCGAAATTATTTTAATCGCTTCCTCATTTATTGGTATTCATGTGTTTCCTGTTTTTAATTGTTATAGTCCTTATGTATGATTGATTAGTGCGCAATAATTAATTATTCATATAGGTTATTTTGCTAAATAGAGGTAATTGAATCCGTAATTGTTCGTTATCTCTATCTTAGTAGCAACTGGCGTAATTGGGTTTATGTCAGGGGAGCATACGATCTAGTTTAAACAAACCCTCGTAGCGTGCCCACGCCAGAGGGAAAGAAATTTTCGTTCAAGATCTGCGGACTCTATAGCAGTTAGACGTGCCCACGCTAGGTGGTCACGCTAACGGATCGAGAATTTTCGTCGGATGGTCAAAAGACTAGGGAGCGGTTAGGCATGCCCAAGCCTAAGCTAGAGATTCTTTGAAAAAAAAAATTAAAAATTTTATATTGAGAAAATTCAAAAACTCAAAAAAAAAAAACATTTTTTCTTCTTCTTCAAAAATTCAAATTTTGGAATTTCAAATTCAGGAAAAAATTTGGAAAAAACATTGAGAAAAAAAAACCCAAAAACTATTTTTTTTTTCCTCTTTTTCTTTTTCTCTTTTCTTTCTTTCTTTCTCTTTTATTCCTCTTTTTCCTCGCTTCCTTCTTCTTCTTCTTTTCTTTTCTTCTTCGACCGAGACCCAAGCCACAGCGCGCCGCATGCCGCCTGAGCTCAACGCTGCCGCGCCGTCGCGCGCAGCCTCCCCTGCGCAACCTCCACCAGCTCCACTCTCTTGACCACCTCCACCTCAGCTCAACCTCTACCAGCTCGCCATCGCCGCCGCCGTCCAGCCCTGAGCTCCACCGCACGGTCGCTCCCACCACTGCAGCAGATCCAGCTCAGCCGCCTGCCCACGCCCCACAGCCCAGCGCCGCAACAGCTTGCTGCTGCCTCCAACCCCACACGACACACAGCGCCCGAACTGCCATCGCCGATCGCCGCCAGTCTCCCAGCTCCCCCTCTGCGCTCTCTCCACTTCGTGAACCAGCCGCACTTAAGCTCACCTCCACCAGCTCTCCCTCGCACGCCACTAGCTGCTCCGCTGCTCGCTCCATTCCCACCTGTCCAAATTGACAGGTGGAGGTATTGAACCTTCAACTTCGATTAGTATTTTTTTTTTCTTTTTTTTTCTTCTGGTTCTGCTTTTGCTAGATTTTGCGCTTGTGTGTCTGGGTTTCTTGTTGGATAACAGAGAGGGTTGTTGTGGGCATTTTCTAGGGTGAATTTTGGACAGATTTGGGTCTAATTGCTACCATATGTGGGGATATTTTCTGATATTTGTTGAATTGTTGGCCGTCTGACCTTCCCTATGTGTATACCAGTGGTACTGGTTGGAGTGTTTTGTTTACATTCATTGATTTTATGTGGTCGCCTGTCTGATTGCGAGCTAATGACCTTGTACTTCTGTTGTTGTTCGCAATTTCACCTGTGGTTGCTGAAATTGCCAATTTCTGGGGTCATTTGCTACTTTTCACAGGTTGGATTTCTTGTTGGATCCAAGAGGGTGATAATTTGGGCATTTTCTAGGGTCAATTTTGGGACAAAATTACGTTTATTTGCTGCTTTGTTTGGGGATATTTTCTGGCATCGATTACATTATTGAGTTGGCCATTTGCTTTAGTTTTTCCCTGTGACTCACCAGTGGTACTGGTTGAGATTTTTGGCCTATCGTTGTGGCTCCTATTTGAAGATTCTTGCTTATTTGAAAGTTTAAGTTCTTGTGATTGGGTTGCTGCCGTTGAATTTAATTCTTTCCTGTCTATGCACCAGTGGTACTGGTTGCAATGTTGCTTTCCATTTCTTAATCCTCTGTGCTGGACTGCCTATTCGATTCTTGAGTTTTGGTGCCTGAACCATTTCTGAAGTGTACCCTTGGCTAGAGTTTTCCCTTAATTATTTCTCTTAATCAATTATTTCCTGCAGTTAATTTATTTAGTTAGTATTTAATCCAAAAACCCCCCATACTTTGGACTCTAGAAGAAACGAATTATCCCCAGTCCCTGTGGATTCGACCCTACTCACCGCTATATATAAAATCTGTATTTTTCTCGAGTAGGTATTTATTATTGCACAGGTTCGGCACCTGTCAGGCGGTGTGGTGCCTTTGTAAACCAAAAGGAACAAAATTAAGACACCCACAAAGAGGAGAAGACTTACGAACAACCAGAGTCTCAAATTTAAAGATGTGAGCTGACACCGCTGCTACACACCAGAAAAACCAACCACATAAACAACAGAATTAAGGAACAAAACTTATCTCAAGCTAAACCACCACAAATAGTTGTAATTGAAGACCATTCTTGAATGCTGAGTATAAAGGGAAAAAAAAATCCCAATCCCAGAAGCAGGGGAGAATCTAAAGAGTGTGAAAGAGAAGGCATTGGAACAACCATAACCGATACTCAGACATTAATTCATTAACATACCCACGTTTATGGCTGTTAAATTGAGATGTAAATGACAGAAAAAATGGGTTGTTTCTGACGTGAGCTTTAACATCTTTGGGAGTTGCGCAAGTGATCGGACATAAGTTGTTTCAAATAAAGAAATATCCTCAAACAGTTATTTTTGCCTCAAAAGTTACACTTCAATTAAATGTGTCTATAATACCATTTCAGTATTTCTACAACATATAAGTTTATATGTGTTGTACTCTATGCAAAAACGGTTGCAAAATAATTACACATTCCACAAATACCCAGTTGTCTTCATAAATCAAAACTTTAAATGTATTAAAATGAGGACATTTTGGTAAACATGCCTAAACACATGCTGTTCTCAGTTGTACCAAAATTTTTAAAAAAACTACACAACATTCCACATTCTCAAAAAGTTCTATTCATCCAGTTGAAATTCAAAACCTCTTTTAACCACAACTCATTCTTATATAGTATAAGGATATCTCATTCAATTTTTTTATGACGTCACAAGGAAAAAGAGAAAAGAATTGGTCACAAATATTTTTTTAATCGATATTGAGTCATAAATCTTGAACAATGTGTGGATGAACAGAATCTGCCTTTTTTTTCTTAAAAACATAAAAAAGGGAAAAAGAAATCATAACAGCAGTGTTTTGAAAATCGAAACAGACCGGCCGGTTTGATGGGTTGAACCTCGAATCAGCCATGACAGTGGTCCATTCTATACTAAAGTTGAAAGCGTCAAATAACTTATCAAAATTGGTCAAACTCATCAAAACCGGTAAATCTAGTCGAACCGGTGATTCTCGATTTTTCAAAGGATTGAACTTGGACCTTTTCTATTAAAGCCTAGCATGGTAACCAGTGCACAATCACATCCAATTAGTCTCTTTTGAGAACACATTTATGTAAAACAAACTTTCATCTTTCTTTCCTCTGTTTTTTTTTTACAAAATTTTATTCTCTCATGACTCTTTTCTTTTTAGTCTTCAACTCTCTTTCTCTATCTCCTCTTTTCTTTTGTCACCCCTTTTTTAATCCAACCTTTTTAGTTTTAATTTATTGATATTTTTTTCCATCTTTTGTTTTTGTCTATTAATTAAAAAAATTAAAAAAGAATTGTTATTCTTTAACCTTAAAAACTGATTATTAAATGCCACAACCACTCACTTTTATCTCATTTTTTTTTTCTTCTTATCAAGTTTGCATCTCTATTTTCAATTCTCCTGACTTTCTTCAAACTCCAAAATTCTTTTTTTTTTTAAGTTGCAATTTCTAAATTCCAAAAACGTGAATTAAAATTTAAACTCACAATGTCTAATTCTCATAGACGTGAGTTTTATATAATTTCAAAATACTGTGGTATTTTTAGATTGGATTTAAGATTATTTTTTTGGTAGATATAATTGAGATTGAGATGACATTTATTTGTTTCTACTCATAATTTAAAAATTTTATTTTTGAAAATCCAAATTCTTTGAAAATATTAAATTTTTTATCATATAAAGTTTTAAATTAGTCCACTGCATGTCTTATTTTGTGTATATATATTTATATAAATTATTTTGTAAAAAATTCATTGAACCGGTCCGACCGATTGAATCTTGACCCGAATACCTCACCTGTTCAATTAACGGTTTGAGTTTTAAAATATTGCACAGGAGTTAGAGGGATGAATATTGAGGTGATGAAGTAGAGGTGATAAGAACATACCATATTTCCCAAAGGCTCCAAGATATTGAGGCATAACACTTGGTAAGGTGTCGTCAGAGATATTATTATTCTTGGTTTGGGCTTCTTTATGCAGGGTTGACATCTCTTTGAAGACTCATGGAGCAGCTTGTAAGGGTTTCCTCTGAAACCCTTGTTCTTTTAGAAGTTTCTCGAGCTTCCTCGGCCTAAACCATACCCAGTTCAATGCTTGCCATGACACTACTACTACTAGAAGAAGAAGAAGAAGAAGACAAGAAGAATATACAGTAAACATTGACACATAGATGGTTTCCATCATGTGTTTTTGTTTTGTTGGTTTTCTTGTGAGATTTCTACCTCTGTTGTGTGTATATTTACATTGGAGTGGGGGCTATGCATCCATTTACTTCAAGACAAAGGAAATGATTAAGAAATAAAAGAGATGATAATTATCGAAAGTGAAGGGAGAAAATTTGACCTAGATGATGTTCCTATGTGGCTATGATACATCAGGTGGAGCCTATTCCCAAATTTTGGATTTTAGAGCAATTATCCGGTGCAGATAAAGCTGGATCCTATAAATTTGAAACTTGTTACTAAAGTCAAATTTTTTTGTTCCATGTTCTTTAAAACTCTGAACATTTATTTTTCTTTTCCTTTTTTCTTGGGATCACAAAAAAAACTGAGTATTTGTTTCATCAAACTAAAGAACCCTTATAAAGTAATCTTAGTATATATAAAACCTCGTGTCTAAGCTACGCTAACTTGTAATAATGTTTGATGAATTTTCATCTCTTTTGTCAACTATTCTTGTTCCATAATTTATAGTGGTCGTCGGGGATGACAAGTAGATTTTTAAAAAAAAAAATCACAAAAGAAGTAAGAATGTATGAAATATTGTTTGCTTTTAGGATAATAAGAAGTTGACCCAAAACTAACAGAAAATGCGTTGCAAAATCGCCGCCAGCACGTCCTTGCTAGTCCGGGTACATGCTGAATGAGATCATTGTCCAAACAAGCAGCACAGCAATGGTCTCGAGCCCAGAAAAATACAACGCCTTGCACTCCTCAATAACTTCTCTTGTAATTGTTCAAAATTTCATCATGTCCAAGTTCCAAAGGAGATCGACTTACCACTAAGAAATATTTTTTTAATACTAGCTAATAAAATTTATAGAGTCTACTAATTAATGTTTGAGAACAGCTGTTAAATGATTTTTAAGCCATGACAAGCCATTTGTTTTCTCGATTATCAAAGAAAAAGGAAAGATCTCTTGCAAAATCAAACCAATAGATGCAATATTTCTCTCTTCATTCGCCGTGAGAAAAACATTAGCATTCTGTTTCAATGCATAGTATCCAAATCTTCATTCTCTTGCAAAATCTGTACTGCTATATTCAAACAGATTCATTGACATATCATATTGGGCGAGACTTGAACTAGTTTACAAGCAAAGTTAAGCATAGAAACAAAAACTATATCTTCTGCAAAATCAAGTGAGCTCCAGACTGGGGTTGAACTAGTGCTGTAGCTGTTCCAGGAGCATGAGTATAAGACGGTGAGAGTTCAAAGGAGAAGCGTTGCAGAATCATAGACATTGCCAATTTTGCTTCCAACATGGCAAAATTTTGTCCAATGCAAATGCGAGGTCCCCAGCCAAATGGAAAGTATGCAACCTGGCCCTTTGTTGCATGTGATACTCCTTCAGCAAACCTCTCAGGCTTGAATTCCTTCACATCCTCGCCCCATTTATCAGGGTCATGATGCATCAGCACTATTGGTAAGGTGAGTTGCACTCCAGCCGGGAGAGTTAAATTTCCTAATTTAGTTTCTTCAATAGTTCTTCGACTCATTGTAGCCAATGGTGGACACAACCTTAAAACCTCATGCAAGATCATGGTGACCTATATATGGGAAGGGGACCCAAAACAAACAAAAAAAAAAAAGAAAAAAAAGGTGTGAGATAGAGTAATTAGGATGTCTATGCAGATGAGAAGCTTCGACGAACTTCGTTAATTAGCATGTCTCTCCTGCCATTAGTGCAATTTTGCAAATCAATGAAATGATCATTGCTAATTTTATGTTTTTCAAAGAAAAAGATTGGCTTACAATTTTGAGGTGATTTAGCCCATCAAAGTCCGGATCCTTAGTTCCAAATTGTTGCAAGACCTCCTCTCTAGCACGTGCCTGCCATTCGGGGTACCTGCAGAGTAAGACCATTGTCCAGACAAGTAGCGCTGAAGTAGTCTCCTGGCCAGCAAAATAGAACACCTTGCACTCACCAACAATTTCTTCGGTAGTCATACCAGAGTCCTTATTTCCATGCTTCTCGATTTCTTGAGAATTGGATTGAAGCATTAATCCCAACAAGTCATCAGAGCCGGCTTCTCCTGCTCTCATTGCCTTTCTTCTTGTGTTGATCATTTCCCTTACTGAACCATTAACTTCTCTGGCAATTTGTTTCATTCTTCTGTTCCTCTTGGTTGGCAAGAACCTAACAAAGATCACAGTTTAGGAAAAAAAAAAAAAAAAAGCAAGAACAAACTATGTTTGCAACAATGGTTTTGGCTCCATTTTTAAATCACTTAGGCGTATCTCAAATGTTAAAATTCCCATCTAAGGCAGTCTTTCATGATTATTGTCCAATCATGATTTTCAAACCATTGATTTCTAGCAGTCACAATTTTCTACAGCACTCAAGAATTCATGATCAATCTACCTAAATCCTGGGATGTTGATGTACACCGACCGTGCTGCCTGCATCAAATGCTCAGTTTGCTCTCTCTGCAGCTCAAAGATCCTTCTTCCTTCTTCATAGTTGCTGCCAAATGCTGTACGAGAAATTGCATCGCTGGAAAGAGCTTGAAGATTGGGCCAAACATCAACTTCAGCCAACCCCTTTGGTGAAACAACATTCTCCCATTTCGTCACCATCTCACTTGCACTTTTATAAAAGGCTGGGAGCATAAGCTGTTTATCCATAAAAGAAAAGAAAATCAGTGAAAGAAACTACTCCATACTGAAGGCTACTTAGTAAATAAATGATGCAATTTACTAAGGACTGTCCAATACAGAGAGTGTTTTCAATTTTAGGATATCATAAATGTGTGTGTGTGAATTTATATGATAATTTTACTATAATTTACTCGCACTAAAGAGTATTTATAGGTCATCCGTTCAAAAAAAAAGATTAATCTTTTCTACACTGTTAGTGTATACACAGATGGAGTTAGATGAATACCACATCATATGAATTTGAAACGCCATAAAATGATTAAATTACAGAGAAGAGAACCTTCAATTTCTCAACGTGGAAAGCTGGGTTGAGGAGCTTTCTCTGTTTGGCCCATTTTTCTCCCTCATATCTGCCGAGTGGATTAACACGGAGCTTCCGGAAAACATCAACCTTTTGTGTAACGGCCTTTATTAGATTAGGGTCCATGATCACCACGACAGGTCTCGGCCCAAACCATAAATATGTAGGATTAGGGGCCCAAAACTGGAAAGTATAAATAGTTAAATGCCTTCCACTAGGAAAGGATAATAAAATCAAGTGTTTCAAAAAATAAAAATAAAAATAAAAATACAAGGCCAAAATATTAAAATAATTCAAATTCTACAAAACTTTTTTTTCCTTTTTTTGCATCAATCAACCTAATAAACTATTTAAAGTGATTCAATCAGCTTATTTCCATCACATTCCATCAAAATCTTCGATTAAGTTAACTGGAAATCTATTCAGAATGTCAAGTACGAGCAATTGTCAGGGATAAAATTGACATTTCTTCTCATTTCAATCTTCATTGTCAAATGACATGCATAATTACTGATAATCAATTAATTATTAGGATGTCCATATTCTAGTAGGACGAAATAATAAATATCAGCTCTATTGAGACCCTTTATGACAATTCTAAGTTGTAAAACAATAACAAACGGAAAAAAAATACGAAAAGACCAAGAAAAACGACTATCCTAAAATACAAAAGCTGAAAGGGAAATCACATACCCTAATACTATAATATTACTACTTTTTTTTTCCTTTCGTATTTAAGTACGAAATACATCAGCCTGAAAAATCAATTGTCCGTGCAGGTTGGAGACATTGTATCTTATTCTCTATTTTCCTTTTTTTTAATATCATAATCACTATCTTTCAACACCGAAAAAGAAAAAGAATAAAAGAAAAGGAGGCAAATGATATTCTATTTAACCAAAAGGAGAGAAAAGTAAAAAAAAAATGGAGATCATATGAGGGACGAAAGAGGTTACGAGGCAAAGAGAAGGAAGCAGGGTTGACAAGAACAATAAATACTACCATATTTCTTAACGGCTCCAAGATATTGAGGAATAACTCTTGGTACGATGCTTGGATTGGGCTTCTGTGTACAGGGTCGACATCTCTTTGAAGTCTCCATGGAGCAGCTTGTAAGGGTTTCCCCGGAAACCTTGCTCTTTCAGACGTTTCTCCAGCTTCTTCGGCCTAAACCATACCCAGTTCAAAGCTTTCCATGATACTGCTACTACCAGAAGAAGAAGAAGACAAGAAGAATACACAGTAAACATTGAGACATAGGTGGTTTCCATGTTGTGTTTTTGTTTTGTTGGTTTTCTTGTGAGATTTCTACCTTTGTTGTGTGCATATTTATAATAATGCAAGCACATAAATCTTAATAAGCAAATTACCATCCAAACAAACATAGAAACTAGATGACCTATGCCATGACGATGGCAGATAATCTTTCTCCAGGAAAAATCCAAGCTTTGTTTTCTTTCCAGGTATGTTAAATTTATCCTTAAATATATTGATAGGTTGAAATTTTATCATTTATTGTAGGGGTGGGCAAAAAAATCCGAAAATCCGAAAAACCGAGAGATCCGATCCGATCCGCACCGAAAAATCGGATACCTGATCCGATTTCAATCAGCGGATCAAATAGGGTCGGGTACCCTAAATATTCGGATACGGATACGGATCGTGAAAGTGAAAACCCACGGGTACTCGACCCGGAGGTATAATATATAAATATTAAAAATATAGGGGTAATTGTATAATATTTTAAGTTATTAACCCTAAGTTCCTAAGCTAAATCAATCCATCGGTCATCCATTCAGAGTTTAGCCTCAGCTTCAGCCGACACTCTTCTGTCTTCACTCATTTCATTTTCTTCTTCTGCTTCCCGACCTCCTTTCTCCATCTCTTCAATTTTGTCAAGTTGAACTCAAGCCTGCAAGCCTCAGCCCTCAAGTAGATGATTCAACAGAGTGTTTCGATTTCGATTTCTCAAGCCTCAAGCAGAAGCTGTAAAACGCCGACCTTCTTTATCTGCAGGTTTGGACCTTCTTTAATTGATGGCTATCCAGCTCCTTCAGGTGATGGTGTATATTACGTGTAGGTTTGGACCTTATTAAAATTTTGGTTGGAGTGATTACAGTACACTACTCCTTGCTCGATGCTAGGAGGTAGGAAATTGTTGTTA